TGTTTGCTGCCGGAAATGGGCTTCCATATAAAAAGGCATATGATTGTCTTAAAATTAAAGTCTATGCTGCTTTACAGTGTATACAGTGACCATAAACTACATCTCCCACAATGCATGTTGATTTTATGCAGAGGGAAGAAAATGTAACAAAAGATGGGAAAAGTGAATACATGTTTGTGCTTCAAGGAGAAAAAACGGTATGTGTTATGAGGCAGTGTCGGTGATGAAGGAATTCAATTTACATCGGCATTTTGACACCAAACACTGAGCAGTATGCTAAATTTAGCCTCCAAGAAAAACATAAAATTGTTCAAGAATAAAAGGCAGAATATATTTACAAAAGTTACAGCCAAAAATTATCCAGCAAAGTGTTTTTCAGAGGGTGCATTGAAGCAGTGTATGCTAAAGGTGTGTGAGCAGGTGTGTGACTTTTAAAAATGTCAGTTTGTGAAGAAACACCATCGCAGACCGAGTTCAGGAACTAGCAGGCAATCTGACAACACAGCCAGCCGAAGAGACGAGCAGTTACTTGTCTTTTTCATTGGCTGTTGATGAAAGCACAGACAACACGGATACATCATACATCATCTATCAATGTTTATAAGAGGCGTGAAGGCAGACTTGACTGCCAAGGAGCTCTTGGATGTAGCTGCCATGCATGGGACGATGATGGGCGGGATGTTAGTGATGCAGAGGTGACAAAAATAGCTTTGAACAAAGTTAATGTAAAAACTTGTTTGATGATTATTCTCTTTCTTGTTTGATCTTTGATAGAGTAATGTGGGTTTCTTAACCCTAAATTAAAAGGATTTAAGTTATATGTCTTCTCAAACACTCAGTGCCACACATTCACTTCTATTTAATTTGCAGTTTGTTCTCTTTGTGAGCCTGTTTGCTGTTTAGCAGTCACAGCGTGTCCTTGCCTGATGAAGTCCACACACATAAACTATAAAGGAACAAATCATGAATTGCTCAGTACGACAGAGACTTAGTGTGACAAGGCTCAGATCAGATAAGAGGAAGGGGCTGAGTAGAAGTGTCAATGGGCATCTGGAAACTGTTGACCAGATATTTAAGTGTGAACTCCTGATTTACACCCTGTGCTGAGGACCCTTTATGTTTATAAGCTATACAGCGGCACCACTCTTGGCTCATCCTCCTGTAGAGTGCACTGCACTCTGTATGACGATGGAGCCTTCTCTGCGCAGAGAATAAATACTCCAAAGACAATAGTATTATAGGACTCACTCTGTACTTTTAAATTGTTTTTTCCCCCACAATATTTGGTTGACACACCTAAAACGTGGTCAAAAGAGGGTGTCATTTCTTTATCTGAAGAGCAGCTTCAAGCCACAGTTGGACACCTCTGACCTTTGACATTTAACCAGGCCACGTAAGCAGGAGTTTACTCACACAGCGTTAAAGCAAGGTTACAGTAGTTCCACATTTTCAACCAGTTCTTATTTTCTCTTTAGTCTAGACATTTAGAATCTGCTTTAGTTTATTTTAGTTCATTTTCAGATTACTAAAAATAATAGTACTGCTTATTTCATTTTTGAAACAAAAACCTTTTTCCTCTTCCCTTCCTTACGTTTTATCCTTCACAATAAAAGCCCCAGACACATACACTGGAATACTGTTTCCTAGAGAGCTCTTAAAGTAACATAATAGCTTAGATACCTCCCCTCCTCAGGACTTTACATTTTCACTGAACTACGAGAGAGCGAGAGAAAGAGAATTAAATAAATAACTGCCTATTTCGGGCACGAGGGCACAATTTTCTTTTAATTTCTTCTTCGTTGCCGTAGCAACAACACACGCAGAGATGAACGTATAGACGCTCATCAATAGGCCGCAGCATTCTTCTTTTGCTGTCTACTGGTTTACTGCTACCAATGGCCTGGACTTCTATAAACGGGCGTCCCCGTGACAAATTTCATTTCACAATGTAAAAGCGAAATTACACTTCTTTTGCAAAACAGGAAGGTGCTTCAAATAGAGAAGTGGTTAGTGCGTTGACAGAGAAGTCACCCCACCCTGGTAGGACAGATGCAGGGTTAAGTACATTACAAAGTTTTACAGTGATCTTTGGCATATCGAGCAAGAATGTGTAATAACGAAGCCATCTAGTGGCTGACAAATGGAATGTTTTCTGTTCGTGGAGAATCAAGGAGACAGCATGAGGTACAAGCAGTGTAACGTGAGCATAACCGACGATACCTCTAGAGGCTAACAAGGCTTTTTCAGCTGCAGCGACAGCACGGACGCATCGCAGAAGGCCTGCTGCAACTGGATCTAATTTAGCTGAGAAATAGGCAAAAAGACGGAGTCGAACACCGTGTTTTTAGAGGAGAACGGACATCATGCAACCGTTGCGCTCGTCAACAGCCTGAGTAAAAGGTCGAGTTGGGTCGGGAAGGCCCAGTGTCGGTGCAGATTGCAGGGCTAGTTTTAAGTCATTGAAAGCTTGTTCAGCTTCTGATGTTCAGGTCTGTTTGTCATGTGAGGAGAGGCCTTTGCCGTGCATTAGAGCTCCGAGGGGAGCTTCCATAGCAGCATAATTGCAAAGGCAAGACCTACAATAGGAGCACATACCTAGAACTGACATAAGGTGCTTTTTAGTCAGAGGCTTAGGTAGGTCAATGATGGCAGAAACACAGTCTCTGGAAAGCGTTTTCCCTTCACCAGAAATGTCTTGTCCCAAAAAGGTAACATGCTCTTTGACATATTACAATTTAGACAGGCTGACTTTGTGGCCTTCAGAGGCCAGGTGTTGGAGCAGGATTTTACATTTTTCACTGGAAAGAGAGAGAGATAGAGAGAGAGAGATAGATATGTCTATATGTCTATTTCGGGCGCAGGGGCACAATTTTCTTTTCATTTCTTCTTCGTTGCCAGGCTGGTCACGGGTGGAAGTGCTAACGGGACAGATAGCTAGTCCAACTGATTATCTCAGAGGTTCTGAGGCGGGCTAAATAGTCTGGAAAATGCAGAACTATTTACCGGTACTCAGAGGCAGGTCGCAACCGGTCGACTGGAACACGCAGAAGCCGTCGCGCGGGCCAAAGGCCTCATTGATGAGCCTATAGACGCTCATCAATAGGCCGCAGCCTTCTTCTTTTGCTGTCTACTGGTTTACTGCTACCAATGACCTGGACTTCTATAAACGGGCTTCCCCGTGACAAATTTCATTTCACAATTTAAAAGCTAGATTACACTTCCTTTGCAAAACAGGAAGGTGCTTCAAATAGAGAAGTAGTGCGTTGACAGAGAGGTCACCCCACGTTACGCTTCTTGGAAACAGCGTAGGCGACAAAAGGGTCTTAACACCAAAACTGTGCAGTATCACAAAAACAATAAGACCTGATTATGAACATTTAATAAGCATAAACATTTAATTAGTATAATGGACATTTTTCCCATTACACTCGACCCTTTTTATCATCTTTTAATAACACAATAATATGAAAAATGTTTGCAATTAAGAATTTACAACGACATCTCTGCTTACATCACGTTAAAAAATTCACAAGGATTCAAGTTGAACACATATAGAACAGTAAACAACACATAGTGCCTCTGAGACCAGATAGTCCTGGCTGTGTAAACGGGTGCCGTGGTTGCACAGTGGTTATTTAGGTCTATACCTAGGTAGCTCTTGGATCGCCTGATTGACAAAATGGGAGCCGTTATCACTTGACAGTTTCGTTGGGATGCCCCAGCAGGGAATCATTTCTTGGAGCAGTGCTTTAACTACTACTGTGGCTGTTTGTTTGGAGGTGGGGAAAACTTCGACCCATTTAGACCACATGTCTACAACAACTAAACAGTATTTCTTACATTCTGATGGTGTTAGCTCAATGAAATCCATCATCATGTGTTCAAATGGCCTTGTAGGAGGTGAATGCGCTGCCTGTTGAGAAACTTGAACTGGTCTGCCTACGTTATGTGTTGCACATATGATGCCGGCTTGACAGTGTTTTTGTGCAGAGGCTGAAAAACCTTTAGTAAACCAATGTGTGGTTACAATATCCACAATCCCCCCTTTTGTCACGTGGTCTCGATCATGTGATAATTTAGCATGAGGATGGAACTGTTTCGGGTAAACCAGTGTAGTACAGGAGGAGAGTGACACAGGGGGAGACGGGCTGCCGCTTTAGCGGCAGCATCCGCCCCGGTCGTTTCCTCTTGACACTGTGTCTGTGGCCCGTGTATGTGCTGCACATTTGCATGTAGCAATGGCAGAGGGGAGCAAAATGGCATCCAAGAGCTGATTAATTGTTTTCATGGTGGGGGATGGGTTTACTGTCTGATTTTAGGAATTTACGATGGCGCCACAGGCACCAAAATCGTGAACAACGGCAAATGCATAACGTGAGTCTGTATAAATGGTGTCGGTTTTACCTACTGCTGCTTTGCATGCTTCTGTTAGAGCAACCAGTTCAGCAGCCTGTGCAGAGTAATGATGAGGAAGAGAACCTGACACGAGGTTGGCGCTGTCTGAAACAACAGCAGAACCAACAAAAGCATTCCCGGAGGCCAGGTCACGTGAGGTGGACCCAACCATATAGAAAATGAGGTCTGGGTTGGTGAGGGGAGTTTCAGAGAGGTCAGGGCGATCCTCTGGTCCTGGTAGGAGAGATGCAGGGTTAAGTACATTACAAAGTTTTACAGTGATCTTCGGCATATCGAAGTGTGATAACGAAGCCATCTAGTGGCTGACAAATGGAAGGTTTTCTGTTTGTGGAGAATCAAGGAGACAGCATGAGGTACAAGCAGTGTAACGTGAGCATAACCGACGATATCTCTAGAGGCTAACAAGGCTTTTTCAGCTGCAGCCACAGCACGGATGCATCGCAGAAGGCCTGCTGCAACTGGATCTAATTTAGCTGAGAAATAGGCAACAAGACGGAGTCAAACACCGTGTTTTTAGAGGAGAACGGATATCATGCAACCGTTGTGCTCGTCAACAGCCTGAGTAAAAGGTCGATTTGGGTCGGGAGAGCCCAGTGTCGGTGCCGATTGCAGGGCTAGTTTTAAGTCATTGAAAGCTTGTTCAGCTTCTGATGTTCAGGTCTGTTTGTCATGTGAGGAGAGGCATTTGCCGTGCATTAGAGCTCCGAGGGGAGCTTCCATAGGAGTATAATTGCAAAGGCAAGACCTGCAATAGGAGCACATACCTAGAAATGACATAAGGTGCTTTTTAGTCAGAGGCTTAGGTAGGTCAATGATGGCAGAAACGCAGTCTCTGGAAAGCGTTTTCCCTTCACCAGAAATGTCATGTCCCAAAAAGGTAACATGCTCTCTATCTAAAAGATAAGACTGTAATAGATTGGTGAGAAAAAACATTTAATGTTAGTTATATCTTTTGGCAATGCCATTTTCATTGTGATTCATGGTTATTTTTCTCTCCCCACCAGGATTCCTCTGCTTGCCAGTATGAAATTGGTGAATTATATAGTGACCGTGGCCACTGGCGATCTCGCCTTTGCCGGCACTTTTCACAATGTCTATATTAAGCTGGTGGGCACAGATGGAGAGAGCGAACGCACCTGGCTCGAGAGCCTCAAAGGGGCTTTATCCTTCATGAGTGGAGCAGTAAGTCTGAAATATCTTTCTCTAAATGTAGAACACTCTTCTTCAACTTCAGATTATTGAATTGAATATCAATTTAGAGAAGCTGATGTAAACCCTCGTCAACTCAGACTGTGCAGCAACAGGATATGTGCTGCTCTGTAACTCTTTAACTTACGGCCTCAAAGGTGACTAAAGCAACAAAAAAAGTAGTCCACATAATAAGCTTCAAATAATTATTATATTTTTGCATAAATGTTATATTCTCCATCCTTCTACATTCAGTATTGCATGCTAACTATCGGAATGTTACAGTTCACTTCTTGGTTATCAAATATGCAACCCATTTCTGTCATTACTCCAGGTGTCAAGTTTTACCGTGTCCTGCTCCGTCTCCATTGGAAAGCTGGTCCTGATTGAGATAGATAAACAGCCTCTCCCACTCTTCCATGAAGACACTTGGTTCCCTGCCAAGGTGGAAGTGAGATCCCCTGAGGGTGACACCTACAACTTTCCCATCTACCGCTGGATCACTGACGGTGAGGTGCACCGCTTCAGAGAGGGAACAGGTTTGTGTGAATTAGACTTGTCAGACATCATGTACCCTGTTCACTGACCACAGAAGACATAAAAGAAGGAAATGCTGGTCTATAAGGAGGCTGGAGTAACCAACTCGCTGTATTTATCAACAATTTAAAACCGTGTTGTTATTTCTTTCTTCAAGCTCTGAGAGTCTTTGAAGACGACCATGATCTTGGCAAGTACAGTCGGGATCAGGAGCTGAAGCAGCGAGAGGAAGTCTATCGGTGAGCAATCAGAGCTTTTACACTTTTTAACTTTAAACACCCCAAAACTAACATTCATCTACGCCCTTTTGGGAGAAAATTAACCACCATATGACATTGTTACACCTGCCAGGGTTTATTGAAATGATTTTGCAAAATTGAAGTCGAGTATATTATGCTTACATATTAAATTATTAAAACTGCTTATACACTGGTACCTTTGCAAAGTTCTCCAATACTCAGCTCTTCTCTATTTACCAGTTGGGATGTGTATGTAGAGGGAATACCCCACTGCATAGAGTCAGAGGACCCTCTTGATCTGCCTGATGAGGTCCAGTTCTCCTACATCAAGTCAAGAGAGTTTTGCTTCACTGCAGTCACTGGGTGAGGTCTTCAATCCTGTCACATATCTATCTATGTAACTGTACCTGCCTATGAACATGATGTAAGGCATAATAATAAAGCCAATTTATGCTTTTATTTTTTAGTCTGGCTGAGCTGCAACTGAAGGGACTTTCTGACTGCACGAAGAACTGGCCTAATATTGATGCTATCCATCGGGTGTTCTGCTGCAAACGGACTGACATATCAGGTACTATCATGTTAGTTATTACTTGGCTTAAAAATCCTTAGATGCACGAGTGACTGGACCCTACACTCTTCCATAAGTGGGTCAAAAATGACTATTAGAATCAATGTGTTTTTATGCCATTTTTGTCATTTTGGTTAAGAATAATCACTTGTATAATATTTAGTATTATATTTAGGACCACACAAGAATGATTTCATGTTTGAAATATCTTTATTTTTCACTTTTTAACATTTTTGAAAAAGAAAATTACCCAGAACAGCAATAGAAAAATGTGAACATCCATTGTGTCTGTGTGTGTGTGTGTGTGTGTGTGTGTGTCTGTGTGTCTGTTTGTGTGTATGTATGTGTGTAACTGTCCAGTCATCGACAGTTCCTCTCTCTTTTCCCTGTTTTGCCTTCTTGTCTCATCACTGTATGCAGTTCAGACAAACTACCTGTTTCTGGCTGTGATCATTGCACACAGATACATTGCATTTCCCACACCTATTGTTGACTTTGCGATCTTTGTTACTTGGGCAGATCTGACACCTCTTTCTCTTTGGTTGGCCCTGTCTGCTTCTTTCCTGTGGCTGGGTTGTGGCTTTTGTCACCCCACACCTTTCCATTGCTTCAATAATCGGGGTTTGCAGTTGGGGGCAGCCTTCCAGTCGACTCCTCATGTGTGGTGTGACAAGCTCCTTTGACAGCTCTTTGAGGAAGAGCCGTCGTGCATTGGTGATGCCGCTCTTAAATTCTGGGTGCTGAGCTGTGAAAAAGGTGTAGGCATTCAGGGTGGCGATGTCAATTATGTTGTACCACAGCACCATGGGCCACCTCTGTGTTTGGTGCTTGCAGGTGTAGGTGCCAACCATCTGGTCAGTGGTGTCTACACCTCCTTTCGTCTTGTTGTAAAATGTGATCACTTCTGTTTTTTTCATTCTGCTATTTACATCCACTACTTTGTCGTGGTGCATCGTGCATTCTGATATAGTCTGTGTGGTCCACAGTTAATTTATTCCTGACAGCCACAGTTGATAAGAATCAAAGGTTCCCATTGGATTCCATAGAAAATGCATGCGTCCATAAAATGTATAAAAGGTAAGTTAAAAATGTAAATGGCATTATATCAAAAACATGTTTTTTGAGGAATACCTGGAATATGAAATGATAACAATTTTTCATTACGAAGATATTTCAAGAAAACAACCTCACCGGGTCATTTTTGACCCACTTATGCATCTAAGGTAAACAGGGAAAAAATGTCACAGAAGGAATCTTTTAACAGTATTTAATTGCATACAATCAAGACTTTGAAGCAACTATAAACAGTGTCCAACCATGTCTGTGTAACACATAAGCTGATAACTGTGATATAGGAAGCTTTTCTAGTACAAAGTTTAAAACTCAACTCTGCTTTTTCTTTCAGAATATGTCCAGAAACATTGGAAGGACGACACTTTCTTTGGCTACCAGTTTCTAAATGGTGTCAACCCCATGTTGATCCAACGTTGTTCAGTCCTGCCCAACAACTTTCCTGTCAGTGATGACATGGTCTCCTTCGGTGGTCAGTGTAGCTTGGCAGGTGAAATGGAGGTGAATGTCTTGACTTTGATTGATCTTAGAGTCATATTTTGTTCCATGACATGTTCAATTTGAAAATGCATGTTGCACTAACATTCACTTAGTATAATTGTTGGAATGCTGATTCAGCATTCCAACTACTGTTCTTTGAATCTTTAAACAACTTATTATATTTCTTCCGTACTTTTTTCGGCATCCATCTACTTCTGCATACTTTCAGCTACAGAAACCGTTCAGGTATCAAAATATTTAGCTCTTTCAGGACATTTTTGCTATGACTGTTCTTGTTTCTATCTCTTATGCTTTTTGAAATATTAAGCAATATTCATATTTCTTTTACAATAATTCTCTATGAAACAAATCCCCTAATCTACTGAAACTTCTTCAAATTCGAAAGCCTAAAAGTTCCGCATACTGTAATGTCATGAGAGATCACTAGGGCTGGCTAGGGTGGGGTGGTGCAAGGGAACTAACAAAAACAGACAAAAATCAAAGGTTCTCAGAATAAGGTCACGTTTTATTCTTATTCTGCTCGGCAACTCAGGGAAGGCTCTTTATCAAAAAATCCAAAACAAAGCGTCCAAGCGGAGGTAATGATTCGTTAAGCAGAACAGTATTAGACAAAAAACTAAACTTAGAGTGTCCTCGGCTTTTTACCAACAACCGGGTCTTCTTCCTTTCAGATCCTCTTCACTCTGGTTCGGAAGTTTACTTTGTGTTGTTCTCGGTGCTCCTTCACGCCGTGTGCTCTCTTCTCTCCCCTCCTCCTCCTCCTCTCCTCCTGCAGCCCTTAAGTCCAGCCTCAATCAGGTGGCTTAAACACCTACACCTGGGTTAGTGGTGAGACCTTCTGGGAGCTGTAGTTGTTGCCTCAGCGGCCATCTTGTGGTGTGGCTGCTGATCCATCTACCACCTGGCCCCGGGTGATGCCACAATAATTTCAGCTATGGACACCAAACTATGAGTGTATGATTCAGCTTTTTGATATCTTTTTTTAAAACTATCACAGCTTATGTTTAATGCATTTTTTCAGACCTTTTCTGACTTTATAATGGGTGTGTATTGCGCAGCTCAGAGCGTGTGATGTCATCGCCCAGAGTGGAGAGGAGCTTCAGAAGCTTGTGAATTTTTATTTTTTATTTTGCCAGAATTTTTACTCTTCTTGCATCATGTTTTGGTCAAAATGTAGCTAATCTTGTCCTGGTCGTAGACATATTACTATGGAATCTAATAGATTTACACATTTTGCCACAGCAGCCTAATAGTGAGAGGAATTTCAACTATCTGCTTGATAGAGACCCATGTTAATTCTGACTCCAAAAAGATCTTGCACAGAAAACCATACCCCATCTCTAGATCGACACGAAAGCCTTTTTTTTGCATAATTGTCACATTATCTGTTCATCAAGTGGTCCTTACTCTCACGGTCTGAAATTGAGGCAATAGGAGCTACGGTTTCTTTAATTTTGAAGTATAGTTGGACAGGTGAGCCTCAGCTTCAACTCCATGTTGTTTCCAAAATAACAGTAGTTATTGTAACTAATACTACTGTTATTTTATGTCATTCTGTTATGAATTACAAAACCATTGTAGTTCAATGCTTTTGGGCTTTAACATTTTTCAGGCAGTTTCACATTTTTGTATTTTCAACAAGGCTTTGCGATTCATTTTAGCTTTCAGTTTTCTAACGCATTTTCTGCAGGAAATGTGTCTTCCAGTTAATATTCACACTGTATGCATATGAGTCAAATTATTTCTCATCCTCACTAAAATTAAATACAGAAAGGAAACATATTCCTGTGTGACTACAAGCGTTTGGATGGGCTGAAAACAAGTATCATCAACGGGAAGAAGCAGTACTTGATGGCTCCCCTCGTCCTGCTTCACAAAACACCTGATGATGACCTGGTGCCAATTGCTATTCAGGTGAGATTAACACTCAAATATCTTATTGTAGTGATGACTCTTCCAGGACGGACAGACATGCAACGCTATAGATGTCATATGTACAGAGAACACAGAAATACCTTTAGTTAAATTACACAAATATAATGCAAACATACAGTATATGAATAATGTGGATCAGAGAAAAAACATTATGTAAAGTATTTTCATTGCGATTGCCAGATTGCCTCCCTTTTCCTTGGCCAAAAACATGAGAATTTAGGCATTAGATCATTGAAGTGGGGTTTCTGTTCTCAAGTTGACCCTGTGCTCTGACATGGGAGTCAAAGAAATTATGAATTTGCTCTTAGAGATCAACAGAGTATCTAACTGAAAAGCAGATGGAACCTATAGTAAACATACAACAATTTCAGAACATACTTTGCTGTTATTAACCACTACTGGCAATATATTGAATGGATAGAATTAACCACACCTCCCTTCCTTCTCCTGCAGCTGAAGCAGACTCCAGCAGATGATAATCCCATCTTCTTTCCTACTGACTCTGAGTACGACTGGTTGACGGCCAAGATTTTTGTGAAAAGTGCAGATTTCAATGAGTATGAACTCAACGTTCACCTGCTGCGCACTCATTTGCTGGCTGAAGTTTTTGCAGTGTCACTGCTGCGCAACGTGCCCATGGTGCATCCGCTGTACAAGGTAACTGAAAGGGAGAATACAGAACTTTTACTAGAGTTGTCATTTATTCAAGTTGCTGATTTTTGTGTCTTTCAAAGATGATGAATCATAATGTTAGTGTGTATATATTTTCAAAAATGTGACACGGCTGAATGGTATAGAAGCATCAAGATGTGTGCTTTGAAGTTAACAGAGTTTTCCTCTTTCCCTCAGCTCCTTGTACCTCACACTCGCTACACTCTACAGATCAACAACTTAGCTCGAGGTCTACTAATATCTGGGACTGGAATTTTCACTCAGGTACGAAAAGACAAACACCTGAATACCTAAACATTTTTTTAAAATCTTCAGTGTCATGTACATTATTTATCTCTAACTATAAACCTTACATATTTAAATTTCTCCTAGTTTGCAGCTTCTGGTGGAGAGGGTGTGAACACACTCCTGAAGAGATCACTGTCCTCAGTGACTTACCGCTCCCTCTGCATACCAGACGACATTGTTGAGCGTGGGCTGGAGGATGTACCGAACTTCTACTACAGGGATGATGGACTCAAGCTTTGGGATATCATCCACAGGTAGTACAGGTGTCCTGGTATTGGAAAACAAGAGCTTTAAATCCTGCCTTCCCTACTAGCCAGCTTTTATTATCTTATGTAACTCAGTTGGTTTCTCATAAAGGATCAGTTAAGCTGCAACATGTGTAAGGTTTTTCCCTTCTTTTGCCCTTTACAAACAGTTTCTTTGCATAATTTCTTTCATGTTAATGCAATTTGATGATATCGATATTCTCATTCTCAACAAGAGACAATGGGCAAGTTTCAGAAAATGTCACATTATTTCTTTAAAGTTGTTTGATCTACTGAGTTGAATAAGCTATTGCACCAAATTCTTAAAAAGAGCAGAACTGATCATTCCGATGGCCTTAAATTGTCTTAAAAAATAATGTCTTACTACTGCAGTGTGTATTTAAAAAAGCATAATTCAACTCGGAATGTGTTTAACAGAACTTATCCACATTTGTCAAAGGTATGTGAATGGAGTGCTGAGCTTCTACTACAAGAATGACACTGAGGTCCAGAAAGACTCTGAACTGCAAAAGTGGATTTCGGACATTTTTGAACATGGATTCCTTTCTCAAGCTGGCACAGGTGGGCTTAAAGACAAGCTCAGTCTTAATGATGATGAATGTGCACATTTATGAACCATTATATGATCTTAATGCAAACAGAAGTCAAACTTAAATGTTGTCTTCCAGACAATGAATGCAGTTTATTCCCTCTAATTGTCAGGAATTCCAGAGATCTTCACCACCGTGGCTGAGTTGGTCAAGTTTGTCACCATGGTGATCTTCACCTGCTCAGGACAGCACTCGGCTGTGAATGCTGGACAGGTACGGTTTTTCAATTCAGTTATAATTATGCTATATTTGTGGAATGGGTTCATGAGGTTTTTACTGTTAGCAAGTCTAACATAAACAAGAGTCTACAGCCATGCTAGCAGGACTGTGAGGCTGCACTTTGGCACGGTGATGCTTTGAGCTGTAAACAATCCATGCTAACATACTAGCAATGGCAACGCTAACATGCTAACTTTTAGCAGATATAATGTTCATGAAATAACAATATTCGTTTCCCATGTTAACAATGCGAGCATCAGCAAGCTTTTTCTAATCAGCAGAAAACACAAAGTACAGCTGAGGCTGGTAGGAATGCCATTCGTTTTGAAGGTATTTGGTCATAAGACACAGTATTGGACAAATAAAAACTTTGATCTGATAGATGAAAAGTCATAGGATCACCAACGTTATTACAGTTCGTCCTGAGGTAAACATAAATGTCTGAACCAAATTTAATAATGATCCAGCTAAAAGTTCTCGAGACATTCCTCTGAAAACCAAGAATGTTCTCCTCATGTCGGCACGAGAGGAAAAATCAGTGGATCACCAAAGTCATTAGGATTCATCCTCTGGGGACCATGAATGTCTTTGTTCCAATCCAATATTTCAGTGTGGACCAAAGTAGTAGACAGACTGATACATGGCGTAGCTTCAAACCGTATTAATCAATAATCTGTCAACCATTCATTCTTCACAGTATGACTACGCTGGCTGGATGCCCAACACTCCCCTCACCCTACAACGTCCTCCACCAACCACAAAGGGGACAACAAGTGAGGCCACAATTCTGCAGACATTCCCTGCTGTCAACGCAACGGTTCAGATAGCGGCCACCGTGTGGCTACTCAGCAGGCAGTCCACTGACTCTGTAAGTGCCCAAGTCTTTAATCACATAAATTAAATTCATGTTCAAGTTGTTTTAAGTTTAGGTCATTCAAGTCCCGCCAACTAAAACTGTACATTACTGTATATTGCCAAAAGTCTGTTTTTAAACATTCTAAACATTTCTTTTTTTTAAATGTATCATTTCAGGTCCCTCTTGGCCAGTACCCAGAGGAGCATTTTAGTGAGAAGATTCCCTGCAAGTTGATAAAGCATTTTCAAGGAGAGCTTCAAGTGTTAAGTGCAATCATCAACACCAGAAACAATATTCTGGAGGTCCCATACACATACCTGGATCCAAAGGTGGTAGAAAATAGTGTGTCCATTTAAATATCTGAAGGTGTGACCTCCACAGATGTTGGCCAAATTCAGCTTGCTATTAACAAAAGTGAGAAAGGGAAGAACTGCCTGTTCTGTTTTTTTAGTGGAAAGAAACACTGCATGTGATCGTTGTGGGATTGATTTAACTGAAGTAAAAATGTACCATTTTAAATCATAAGCCACACCTTACATTTTCTTAGTTCGTCAATAAATATACAGTAGAGATAATCAAAATACAGTTGCAAAGGTGTCAATTTGCTTTACTTTTGCTTTCTAAACACAAGAATGATTTTATCTGTTATTTGTTCTGGGAGAACTCTACAGCATATGTGCTGTGTTACAGCCATTCACTGCTAATTCATCTACAGTCTGTTGTCTTTGTTAGCTTATTTGTTCTGTTCCAATTGATACAGAGCAATAAATATATAGTTTTTGTGAGAAATAACTATAGCTCTGTGTCATCAACAGACACAACTTTTAATCAAGCTTCTTTCAGTGAACTTCATGTGCTAAAGAAATACAATTAAACATGGTGCATATAAACATATGCTTGAGTCAACATTTTTTGTGTCCTGTCCCACCTCTCTTTGAAAGCTGGTGCAGATTGAGATGACAAAAAAGTCTCTCGCTCTGCTCCCAGAAGACACCTGGTTTCCCTGCAATGTAAAAGTACAGTCCCCGGAGGGAGTCATCTACAACTTTTCTATCTACCACTGAGTCGCTGACAGCGAGGTACAACTGTTCAGATATGCAACAGGTTTTGTGGAACTGTACTTGCCTATTACATTATATCGTGCTGTTTACACTTTTACTGTCCCCCAAACATACAAGAGAAGAAATGGCCCATTTTTAATCCTATCTTTTCCTTAGCTCGAAGAATCTTTGATGATAATCATCATGTAGGCAAGTACAGTAGAGTGAAGGAGATGAAGCTAAGAATCCCAACCCAATATGTAAATATTGGCAGAACCAGCCCAAATACATGTCCCCAACTGTCCCCAAAATGTAAGGTTGTCTAAAAAAAGAATCTCTGTCCAACATTTCTACAAGGTTCTCTGTCAAATAAAGGCAACAGTCTGTTATATTGCAAAGAGTTATTGTAACAGTTAAAGGTCAAACCCTGACAATAGTTTCTTCCAAAATCCACATCAGTACTGTACAATATTTAATTTGTGACTGGCCTGTTACACTTCATTTTTCATCTAGCCAAAATGTGAAAACTCTATTTTATCTAAAATTTCAGACAGACAGACTACACTGTGACAAAAAACATTTAGATGGAGTAAAAACAAATGTCATCAATGGGAAGAAGCAGTACTGGATGTCTCCCCTTGTCTTGCTCCATAATACCCCTGATGATAAGCTGGTGCTGATTGCTATTCAGGGGAGACTGACCTACAAATATACACAATATTAGAGTTAAACATGTGATGGGACAGAGTTTGTTTATAGAAAGATAGATAGATAGATAGATAGATAGATAGATAGTTACTTTATTAATCCCGCAAGGGGACATTTTTTCGCTACAGCAGCATTTGTGGTACAGGTAAGCAATAAAAATAACAGATAGAAATGCACAATATATACAATGAAATAGGATAAAATTCATATTAACTAACTAAACAATAGTGCAACGATTTAACCAAACAAACAACAGTGTAACGGTGTTATAGTTGTGTGATTGATTTGGCCAGAGGTTGTTGAACAAGGTTATTGGATTTATGGCCTTATTTTAAATATTTTAACTTGAAACTTTTCTCTATAGCACCATCATGTGAACTCCTTCCTTAAATTTTAGTGTGGGCCTACCAACCATGTTTTGCTTTATACACTTGAAACTACTGGATATTCCTAAATATAGCTTTGGTTATGTTATGCATGGATATCTATTTTACAACATATTATTTAGTTTTTGGTGAGCAAGAGCACACAAGAGAGAAAAACAAAAAATAAATCTACACCTAATAATAATGCTACTGGTCCTGAGTCGGTTCATTTCTGTCCCTTGTGTCAGACACAACTAGTGTATGAAAGTCTTTTTAGTTCCCAGGTGCCCAAGAAGTTATGTGTTTTACATATTAAGGAGACACAAGTTACTGAGCCAAGTTCTGTGGGCTGTTTTGAAATGTAGGCATCTCTGCTGGGACTGGCTTCTACCGTCACCAAATAATGTTTATGTGGTAGTGGGCGTGGTCTGTGCTCAGCTGCAGGGGAGAGATCTGTGGGAGTGGTTCAGGGGAACAGTGCCAGGGTTAATTGGCACAGCTGTAACCTGTTGCTAATTATCCCTCATTCACATACACTAACCCTGGCACTGTTCCACTGAACCACTCCCACAAATCTCTCCGCTGCAGCTGAGCACAGACCACGCCCACTACCACAGTTTGGAAAGTCTAAGTGATAAGCAGCACAATAAACAAGCTTCCTTCACAATTTGAAAGAACTCAAAGACACAGCAGAAACAGTGGTTTACATTTTAATAAGCAGAATAATAATCTAAACCAACCCCAAGCAAAGAGTAGAACAACTCTATATTGGGGGTTGTTAACAAGGCTTCTTGCATGTTGTCCCTCATGTTTTAATGTATTTCATGCTGATATGCTGTGTTGCTGCAGGAGGCATTTCCAGGAAGGGGAGGTCAAACTGTATTGCCATTTTTATTTGCCATGTGACATGAGTGTTCCTGAAGAATGTCAAAGTAATGATACAAAATTGTAGAAAGAGCAACAATATGTCAGATAGTGGTCTGAAACTTGATTAGAATTTGTCACAATGCTTTAGTTTAAAATATTTAATTCAAGCAGAGTTCTACTTTTCTTAAAGGTTTGTGAAGGGAGTGCATGGCCACTACTACGAGGCAGGCATTTTATAATTTATCTGCATAATACAGTACATTCTTTAGAAAAGAAGGTTTCTTCTTGATTAATCTAAATATATAAATGATTGCTGTTTTGATAAAGACTCGTGACTGAGTTGGTCAAGTTTGTAACAATGGTGAGGTTGACTTGATCAGGCCAGCACAGGACAGGTGCATCATTGCAATCTATCACTTCTGTAGGTAAAAACAAAACAAAAAATGAATTGTTTCAATTTGTTTATCTCTTTGTTTGGAATTATTTTTAATGCAAACGAATGAGTTATATCATAGAGCACTCACAAAAATCATGAATGCTATTGATATAATATTGATATTTGATATGGTTTATGCATAATTCTTTTTCATATTTTTGATCTGGTGTGTTCATTCATCACAGTATGACTATGGTGGCTGCTCAACACAGTAACACAACACTGTAAACAGATTTAACAATCCAAGCATTTTAGCAACAGTTACGTTAGCTCAGTCTAGTTATTAGTGGGCTTTATATTTTCAGAAACAATATATAACTTCATCAGCTACCAAAGATACAAATCTTAAACTAGCCTGCACTGGTTGACTCATCACCAGTGTCTCTAGACCATATTTCACTGGGATTTGAAATGTTGACTTTCAACTGAGAAATGTTGATGTGGTTTCTTTGTAAACATCTAAAATAAAGATATAATATTATTAGCACAATGTAGAGGAAGAAACATTTTTGTATTGCAAATCCCGTTAAAATCTGGTCTTAACGTGAAGGTTCAATCAACGTCTTCAAATAGTTGGTGAAAAAATGTAACGTTTGAACTAATTTTAAACATCTTTTCAACAGGGGCCATAGTCGTCTTTTTTTTTTAACAAATGTTTTTTATTGTCTTTTCCACAATACACAAACACAAGACAGAACAAGGCACATCAAAAGGTACACATAGGCACTTGGAGATATTTCAAATAAAGTTATCAATGGCATGTTTTGTTGTTGGGCGTTACTGACTGTTTCTCAGCAGAAACAAAAAATAAAAATAACAGTAGAGGGTGACAGATATGTACATGCACAGATAGATACATATTATACCCAACAAATAGAATGCTCCCACATTCCCTGATGTGACCAGTGAGACATAGTCGTCTTTTAAACGTCTTTTAAACGGAAAAAAACTTGCTGGGGAGTGTCAACTTCTCTAGAATCGTATCTGCCCCAGACATATGATTAGAGTCATAGATATTTCAGCTTTATAAACTCTCGGTGGACGTCCACTACAACTTACATTAAGACAGTAGTTCATCACAGGAGCATCTTGGTTAGGTAAGAGAGATGCTTCAAGAAATTATTTTTAAAAGATTAGACTGTAATAGATTGGTGAGAAAAAACATTTAATGTTAGTTCTTATATCTTTTGCCAATGTCATTTTCATAGTTATTATTTTTCTCTCCCCACCAGGATTCCTCTGCTTGCCAGTGTGAAAATGGTGAATTATATAGTGACCGTGGCCACTGGCGATCTCTCCACTGCGAGCACTTTTAACAATGTCCATATTAAGCTGGTGGGCACAGATGGCAAGAGCCAACGCACCTGGCTCAAAAGCCTCAAAGGGGCTATAAACTTCATCAGAGGAGCAGTAAGTCTGAAATATCCTTCTCTAAATGTATATCACTCTTCTTCAACTTCAGATTATTGAATTGAATATCAATTTAGAGAAGCTGATGTAAACCCTGTGCAGCAACAGGATATGTGCTCTTTAACCTGCAGACTCAAGGGTGACTAAAGCAACAAAAAAAGTCCACATATTGAGCTCCAAATAAATATTATTATATTATATTCATGCATTGAATAAATGTTATATTGTCCATCCTTCTACATTCAGTATTGTATGCCAACCATTGGAATGTTACAGTTCACTTCTTGGTTCTCAAATATGCAACCCATTTCTGTCATAACTCCAGGTGGCCCCTTTTTTTGTGTCCTGCCCCGTCTCCATTGGAAAGCTGGTCCTGATTGAGATAGATAAACAGCCTCTCCCACTCTTCCGTGAAGACACTTGGTTCCCTGCCAAGGTGGAAGTGAGATCCCTACAACTTTCCCATCTACCGCTGGATCACTGACAATGAGGTGCACCGCTTCAGAGAGGGAACAGGTTTGTGTGAATTAGACTTGTCATCCTGTATGCTGTTCACTGACCACAGAAGACATAAAAGAAGGAAATGCTGGTCTATAAGGAGGCTGGAGTAACCAACTCGCTGTATTTATCAACAATTTAAAACCGTGTTGTTATTTCTTTCTTCAAGCTCTGAGAGTCTTTCAAGACGACCATGATCTTGGCAAGTACAGTCGGGATCAGGAGCTGAAGCAGCGAGGGGAAGACTATCGGTGAGCAATCAGAGCTTTTACACTTTTTAACTTTAAACACCCCAAAACTAACGTTTATCTACGCCCTTTTGGGAGAAAATTAACCACCATATGACATTGTTACACCTGCCAGGGTTTATTGAAATGTATTTTGCAATATTGAAGTCAAGTTGAGTATATTATGCTTACATATTAAATTAAAACTGCTTATTCACTGGTATCTCATGTGCAAAGTTCCTCATTACTCAGCTCTTGTCTATTTACCAGTTGGGATGTGTATGTAGAGGGAATACCCCACTGCATAAAGGCAGCACACCCTCTTGATCTGCCTTTAGA